AACAGAGCTGGTCTTTAAAGCTTCCAAAGCAAGTTCACACATACACTCAACTCTGATCCTCATAAAGCCAAGTGACGTAAGGTGTTATCTCATCCCCACTTTGCAGATGAGTAAACTGATGCTCACAGAGGTTAGATGAATGATCTGAAGTCATATGACTAGAATTTAGTATAGCATCAGTCCATGACCACCTAAACTTTTCTGCATTGGGAAAGAATCTCAGGAAACAGAAAACAGAGTCAGAGAACATCTTGAGATGGAAGTCTTCTAATCTGTGTCAATTTCACTTGTGTTTAATAGTTCTGGATATCATCAAAGAGCTACTTGTCTTCATGCCCCTAAACACCCATGGACTCTTTCCTACTTGTGCCAACAGCCTGATCCTCAATCTCTACACCGTCTGCCCCAGATGCCTCTGCATTCTGCCTCCTACACTTTTTGGTAGGAAGGGTCATGTATCAGTCAGGATGTGTTCAGCTTCAAGCAACAGAAAATCCAACTGACATAGACTTGAGCAATAAGAACATTTAATTATCTTTCGTAACATGAGATATGAAAGTAGGCAATTCCAAAGATGACACCTTAGCTCAAAATTGTCATGGAAGAACCAAGATCTTTCTTTCTTTCCACTCTGCCATCCTCAGGCTTGTTAGCGAGGATGTTGGCTATGAAATGGCTGCTACAAGTCGAGTTTCATATCCTCACAGGACTGTGGCCAAAGGCAGATCCCAGTCATACGTCCATCCCAGCAGCAAGGGTGGCTGGGAAAACAGGCATCTAGGATTTCTGACTTCTGGAGGGATGGATGCATAAGGGAAAAAGTGGATGCTGGTTATTGGATAGCTAATTAACAGTCTCTGCCACAGGTAATTTTCTGCTTCCTGATTAGGGTCAGAACTGAAACTAAGTCCTCCCGAGCAGAAATATAGATTTCTTGACACTATCTACCTGTTTCTGTATTTGTTTTCCATGGCTGCATGATAAATAACCACAGATTTAGCAGCTTAAGACAATATCCGTTTGTTTTCTCACAGTTCTAGAGATCAGAAGTCTGGAAAGTCTTCAGCAGGTGCTCTGCTTAGGTACTTACAAGGCTAGGGTCAAGGCGTTAGTGGTGCTACCCCTCATCTGGAGGCTCTGGGGAGGAATCCACTTCCAAGCCTAGTAGGTTGTTGGCAAAATGCAGCTCCTTGCAATTGTAGGACTGAGGCCTCCATGCCTTGCTGGCTGTCAGTCGGGGGCCAATTTCAACATCCAAGGCCACTCTCAGTCCTGGCACGTGGTCCCCTCCATCTTCAAAGCCAGCAACGGTGCATTGAATCCTTCTCCTACTTTGAATCTCTCTGACACCCCCTTCTGCCAGCCTAATCTTGTGTGCTTAGATTTGGCCCACCCAGATAATCTGCCTTTTGCCATGATCACGGGCACAATGCCAGAGGGTGAAGATCATGGGAGCCATCTTAAGATTCTGCCTGCCATAGTTGTCACCAAAAAAATAAAATCAGGATTTTTTTTCCCAGAGTTCAGGATGGGGTCAACCTTCCCTGAATCATGACAGACGCAGGAGGACTCCCAATTAAAACTGGGCTTTGCATGCAAAAATGTAAAGGAGAGAATAGCTGTTGGGTGGGCAACCAAGAGTGTCTGATTTGATTAACATTTTTTTTCTGTAAAACCGAGATATTAACCCTAATTTAGCCAAACAGTAGAACATCATCCAGCTGGTGGACCTTTTATTTTTAAGAGAATATGGTGTGTAAGAACCACTGATCAGGACAAGGATTCCCACTTCATTTACCTTTCCCTGTCACTCGCTCCTGCCTCCCCAGCACCAACCCCCATACCCTCAGCCTGCGCCATGCCCCGCTCCCCAACTATGAAGAATGCAGACTCAGGGAGTTTGGTAGGGTTTTCTCCTAAAAGTAATGTGGCTACATTTTTCATGTTGGTTTTTCACTGTTTTGTTTCCATCTATTCAACAAAACAGAAGCACAAGGGTTTGTGGGAGGAGGAGGCACCTCTCTCTGAGCGTCCACAGAGCAAACAGGTCCTAGTGCTGCCCATGGTGTTCATACTGAGCCTTTATGGGGCTTGCCATGTTTTTCCAGCAAGAAATCACGTCCGCTCTCTTAGACAGAGATGCCTCCCTACCAGTTCTTTCAAGTCATTGTTTTCTGTTGCACTGCCTCATGCCAGACTCAGACCTCCTGTGCTCTTTATTTCCTTTAGTTTTACCTGCTTTATGACATCTATTTGGATGGAATTTTTTTTTCCTCCACCAAAAAAGTCTAAAATCCCAGGTCAGATGTCTCCAAGGAGCTTATATGTGTTTGTACAAACACATGGAAAACCTTAAGAACTGCAAATTATCAACCAGGAACAGCTCAATGCCTTTCAGAATTCTTTACTTTTGTGGAGGCTTGTGTTTATCTTTTATTTGAAGAGCTTTCAAGCCCGTTCTCTTGAAGTACCTTGCATTACTAGGAGCCCTGCTCATTTGTTCTTGTTGCCTCCTTCATTCAGGAGATCCATCAATCAGTGTCGGAAACAAGGCAGCCTCTGTGTAGAATCAAAAGCCACCACATCACAGCTGAAGGCAAGAGAATGCAGTGGGCATTGTTGTTTGTACACAGCCTTCATCTCTTTGAGAAGTGTCTCTGTTTGAAATGAATGAGGCAGACAAGAGTGTGGCTTCAAAAGCAACTATCCTCCTCTGGGCTTTGCTTATTGAAAGTCCTGTGCAGCACTGCTACTAGAAAGTAAAGTGAATAAAAGGCAAACCTGAGGCAGGCTGCAGGTCCCCACGCAAGGGACTCATGCCTGGCTTCAGCCAGGATGTACCATAGGACATTTGCCTTTGCTTTGTCAATACGAGTTTCCGAGGTTAATGTGAAAGCGGCTATTTTCTTCCAGTGATTATGCCTTGACATTACATAAACTTCCCTCACCTAGAGCCTATCCCAGAAGTATGACCGGCTGCTCTCTTTGCTGGTGCCTCTTAAGGGTGTCACTACTGTTGCCATGGTTATAGCTTCTGCACCAGAGGATTGGCTGATCCTTGGCCCATTTCTTCCACTCGGCTCTCATCTCCTCTGCAGCAAGAGACCTCTTATTCCCCGATCCGTTTTGTATTTGGCTGGAAGATTGGAGAGCACATAGTTTTCCATGGTATTTTATGATCCCTCTGTAGGCTCTTAATGACCCTGATGTTGATTAGGACCTAAAGACTTAGGCTAACGGAAAAGTTAGAACAAAGTTCAAGACTCATATAGATGATCATCCCAATAATTGGCTTGAAAATCAACACCTTCATCTTTTGTCTGCAGAGGGTTTGCAACGAGTGCTAGAGAGTGCCGAGCCAAATACCTGGCTGATGACTAGGCAGTACTAACACAGAGGATGGTACAACATGTATTTGATGTATAATTTCATCTACGGACACACCACATTTTTCCTACCCTCATTTGTCTACCTAAATTTTCTTTTTAATAAGCCTTACGTTGTTTATATCTTTAAAAAGCACTTTAACTTCTTTTGAAGCAAGACTAAATATAAATAAAATATAAGTATATTCATCAGAAATCCATCAGATTCTTGCTATTAGGATGGGAGGAACAAAAGTATAAAGGCTTTTGTGTTCAAGAAGGGAAGTTTGCATAATGCAAAGTACCTCGAACATATTCTGAATAAAATCAAATAGAATAATTTTATTGTATATTTTCTGTTGAAGAAAAAAATATACACATGGTTGGATTCAAGAAAACCGGAATTTCTGGAACAAGGGAGAGATAAGGACATGGCACTCCTAACTCAGGGAGCCCTCTGACTAATTAGAGGTCTGCTAGATAAAGTAGCTCACACATAAATTTGGGCAGTTTCTTCAAAAGCCTGGCATGAGCCATGTGGACATCCATACCGCCAGGGAGGTGTTCAGTGGGTTCTAGGAATCCCAGTGTCTTGCACACAGTAAAAGCTTTACAAATATATGCCAAATAAATTGAAAAAATAAGTGAAAACACTTATGCATGTGTGCTAAATAAGTGCCCGGATAATCTTCAAAGTAACCCAGATAGAAATGATTTAGCCGTACTAAGAAAAGTGGATGCTATAAAGGGCTTTGGAGTTATTTTAATCCTCGCAAGGAGGTAGATGTTTTTATCTCCAGATAAAAACATTCAGATGTGGTTAAGGAAGGTTAAGTACCTTGTGCAAGGCCACATAACTAGTGAGTAAAAGACCCAGGATTTAAGCCCAGGGCGGTCTGATTCCAAAAGCAGACGATTCCCTCAGTCTACTCTGATATTTCCCAAGCTGATGCTAAGAACACAAATCTGAGGCCCCATCCCAGATCCACTGAGTCAAAATCCCCAGGGAGGGACTTGGAAACATTGCGTTTAACAAGAGACCAGATGATGATTGTTTCCAGAAAACCGCTCTATTGCATCGCACGGGAAATGGACCCATATCTTCCTCTGAGTGATCAAATAGAAGCCATCAGAGATTTGAAGCTCATACAACTAAAAATAAATCATGTTGTTCTGAAGTTTATCAGACTGTAATATCATAGACTGTGGACTCCTCGGTCTGGTAATATAGCATTGTCTGATTTAAGGTTATGTGGATCCTAAAATACCAAGAACATTTTGAAAAAATTAAAAATGGGTTCTAATTTAAGCTTCTGCCCCTTTTGGATCCTGAGGAGCAGCAGTGAATGAGAATTCATTCCCAGCAGTTTCCATCGAGGCAGAGGTTCCAGTTGTGCAGCAGCGGGAGGACTGCTGGACTGAGAATCAGTCCTCACATCTGGCTCCCCCGGGATCGCCTTTCATTGGATCAGGAAGTAGAAAATCTATCACTGCTTGATCGGTTCTTCTTAGTTTCAGTTTTTGCGCAACGAAGCCTCCAGCTTCAATACCCCATTATGAGAGCAAACAACTTATTTGTACAATCTAAACACTCAATTAACTACATGAAAAGCGAGGCAGTGATTCCTAACACGACTGAATTTAAATCAAGCTGTGACTCTCCACAGTGCAGCCGGAAATGCAGATGGACAACTTGAACTGAAACCGGAGAACATCTAAGGGGCTTCGGACCGCTGCTTCTCAGCAGTTTTTATTGTAAGTTATTCCTATCATCTCAAAGAGAAACTTAAGGTATGGCTGGAGGGTATAGAGCTGCTTGCCCCCCATTTTGAGCATAGATCGTTGTTTAACCGACGTGCTTTATATACTATTGCCAAGAGATTTTTTTTGAATGCTATTTTCAGACATGATGTCTATAACTGCAAATATTGACAATTATATTTTACAAATAATGAGTTTAACGTGCTTTAATATGCTTCTATTCCTCAGTCTTCTTGATCTCATTTAATCTTCACAACAACTCTATGAGGTTGGTATGCTTATTAACACAATTTTACAGATGAGGACACCAGTAAGTAGCTTCCTCACAGTATAATTAAGGAACTTGTAGAAAGTCCCCAGCTAGTGGCTGAGCACCATCTCATATCACTGTACTGCCTGCATTCCAAAGAACTTCTGTATGTTTAGGCCATTCATTTCTAAAATGACAAATTCTCATATTAGATTAAAACATAAGACCCAACAATATGTTTGTTGCTTAAAAATAGGTATCTGTTGTTTAAAAAAAAAAAAGGATGCAGAAATGCTAAAATTTAAAAATTTTATCGTGGGAATTCATACAACAAAAAGAAAACAATTGGTAAAGTTGATATCAGATAAAAGAGATTTTAAAGCCAAAAAATGGGGGGGAGGGTAAAAAAAGCTCCTGATTATAGTGAAAAATGTAAAATCAATTGTGAAGACGTAGATTACCAAAGTTAGAATGCAAACGAAAATAGAATAAATAAAAAACAAATAATTGTAATGGGAGGTTTTATTTTAAGGCCAAGGGAAAAAAGTAGATAA